TAGACATCCTGACCCCGAAACCAGCCGCGACCTCCGGCAAAGGTGTCCGGAGCCCCGTGCCACAATAAACAGCACGTGCAGGATCCGCATGCCCCTGGCCCCCAGTCCCAGCCCACCAGCCCAACTCCGACCCGGGGGGAGCGGTCTCCAGTGCCCGGGCCTCTGCGTGTTCGGGGCGGTGGGGCGCCTGGCCCCTCATCTCACTCCCGCCCAGGTCTGGAAGGCACAATCACAGGAGGCTCTCCGTCCAGGGCCCACGCAGGACTAGGTCCTGGTCCCACGAGGGAAGTACCAGCACTAAAGTCTGGCGTCCGAACACCATCAGCACTAACTGAGGACCAATGTGAGGACTAGATCTCCCAGGAACAGCATCCCCTCTGGCCTTGCGCCAACTCACCCAGGAGGGGAAATGTGACCTAAGCGCGGGGCTCGGGAGGCACGAATCAGAAGACAAGAGGCAGGGCCACTGCGGGAACCCAAAGTCCCAGAAGCCCGCGGGTGGCGGCGGTAGGCAGAGAGGAGCACACAGGGTAGCGAGGTTGAAGCTCGGGTCTTCAAGAGAAGAAACTAGAAAGGTAGCCCAAGGCCACTGCGATCTGTGAGAGCCTGACCAGAGTCATAAGCCCAGGAAAGGTTGTTAAAATGCGAATTCTCGAGCTCATGCAAGCTGCGGTGCTTCAGGGTGTTGGGAAGGGGCCCAGAAATCTGAAGTTTTCCCAGGCTCTCCCAAGAAATTCTTCCTGCACAGAGAGGTTTGGGAATCAGTGACCCAGTCCTAACAGAGTTAACGGAGGTCCCCACCGCTCTGATTTCTGTAGGGTTACCGGGAGAGAAGCCCTCCCTAGGATAGGAACCGGGAACGTCCCACCCAAGCCCCTGGGCTCCCGAGGCACTTAAGACCGGAAACGGGAAGGCTTCCATAGCGGCTGGAGGCCCAGGGGAGGCCAAGGAAGTGGCGACCCCTCCCACGTCAGCTTGCTAAGGGGCCCAGACGGCTGGCGGGTGTTTCGGGGCCTGCCGGGAAATGTAGTCCAAAAGGCGGGCGCGCGCCTGCGCCCTGCGCAGCTGCCCCGGGGAGCCTGGGAGAGCCGTGGGCGCCGAGGCGGTGAGTCCCCGAGCGGCCAGAGGGCGTGGCCGTCCCTGGGGCGCGGGCGCGGGCGGAGGTTCTCCGGTGCTGCTGGGGCTACGGCAACCGCCCATCGCCAGCTCTGACCCCGCGGCGTGTGCAGGGGCGAGCGACGGGCGGCGGGCCGCTGTCCGGCCGGGACCCTACCACCGCTCCCTGCGACCGGGCCGGGCCTTCCCGAGGTTGTCCGAGACCGGGATCGCCCCTCCAGGCGGCGGGACATCGTGGGCGGGAGCGCGCTGGGGCCATGCTCGCGCCCCAGGCAGCCGATTTGTGACTGGCTTTTAGACGTT